GGTCAGGGCCTCAGGGCGGAGCTCGAAGCTCAAGAGCCGTGTGGCGCTGCTCTGCAGAAAAGCCCGTCGTCTCAAGCGTCAGGCAGGTTACCTTGGTCGCAAAGCCCTCAGAATTTTCGCTGCGGGCCCCCTCCCTGGAGGGGCCTATGGGGCGGACATCCTGGGGGTGAGCGACCAGGTCCTCCTAACCATGAGGCGGCAGGCTTTCAAGACTGTGAGGCCTTTTGCCAAAAGTAGGTCTCTCACGGCGGTCAGCCTTCTGTCGGAGGACCCGTGCTGGCGAGCTGCTTCGGCTCCCATCCTGCGTTGGAGCAAAGAGGTCTGGCTGGCCCAAACTCGCGAGTTCCCCTGGTCCATTCCCCGTAGGGAGCTCCGAGACGGTTTCAGGAGTGTGTTTGCGCTGCCTAGGGTTACTTGGCCTACTGTTAAGGGCCCCGTGTCTGCCCTTCGCCTTACCCTCCTTCGCCTCGGTTGGACCATGGTTGACTATGCCACCATCTTGGACGACCGTGGTTATCGTTTGCAGCTCGGCCTGATTCCCCCCAAGTTGTTGGAAACTATGTGCAAAGAGGCCTACATGCGTGGGCTCGAGCGGGATCTTGGGGGTAAATGGGGGCTGGATTGCAGGGCGTGTCTGGACATTCCCAGAGCTGCTTGTGTCAGTAAGAAGTTCTCTCCTGCGCAGAGGGGCTGGATTCGGGCTTGCTCTTGTGATGCCATCTGGTCTGCGGACAAGGCCTTGGCATGTGGGTATCAGGTAGACCCGCTTTGTCCCCTTTGCTCTGCTTCGCCCGACTCAGTGTTTCACAGGCTTTGGCAGTGCACGGCGACGGAAGTCCTAGAGTCGCGGACTCAGCTGGTCCCGGCCTCAGTTGTGCAAGATGCCATCGCCGTGTGGACAGCTCAGGCGGAACCCGACCCTCATGTGCGAGCTCTTTATACCAGAGGAGTTTTCGCTCATCCCGCTGACGTGTTGCCGCGTCCCGTTGAGGAGGGAACGAATGCCCTTCAGTTCGTTTGGCATTGTGACGAGCTTCCTAGCCCTGAAGGTCCCAGGGTCCCAGTGAACGGGGAAATGTGGGGGCACGTCTTTATAGATGGGTCCTGTCAGCGCCACCCGATCAAGGAATTGTCTAGAGCTGCCTATGCGATTACTATGAATGCTGAGGATGGCACGTGCCTTGGAGAGGCGAGAGGCCCTGTCTGGGCTCATCTTCCTCAGACGCCTCAGGCGGCTGAATATGCTGCCAGATGTGTAGCCGCACAGTTCTTGGTGTTGCCGACCACTATTTATTCGGACTGTGCGAACGTTGTGTCTCACAGCACATTGCCCTTGCCTGAGAGGTACTCGGGCAAGAGGTCTTATTCAGGAATGATTATGTGTGCCAACAACTTTGAGGGCCGCTTTTTGGAAGGAATTGTCAAGGTCAAAGCTCATTTAGATGTGCACCAGGAGGGCATCTCCGAGAGAGAACGTTTCCTCAGGCGTGGAAACGCTGATGCGGATGTGGGGGCTAAACATGCCCTTCAGCTTCACCCATCAGACCCGGCCGAACTTGCCAATGTGGACAAGCTTGTGGAAGCGGCCAGGGGTTATTGCATCCTTGCTGCTAACTTGCTTCCTCTTTGGCCTAAGCTCTCTCTCGACGTTCCCTATCTCCCTCCTCCTCCTGCTGAGCATTTAAGCTCCCGCAGTAAGGTTGGCCATCGTTGGGAAGTCTGGGCTGACGTCTGGAGGTGTGCGGTGTGCCTCCGCGGGAACAGGGGCTCGTCTCGGCCCCCCCCTGGAAGGTGCCCCCAGGATTCCAAGCTGCATGCGGCTAGGCAAGATGCCCTTGGGCATAGGACTGTTGCCTTCGACTGTTCCGACAAGACAGTGCTTTTCATATGCCTAAAATGTAAATGCCACTCTACAGGTGGCAGGATTAGAGGCCTAGGCGAAGTTTGCAAGAAGCCCACCCGTGCGGGCCGTCAGGGTTGGGCCGCCTTGTGCAAGGGCACTCACCCGCAGTACTCCAAGTCCAGCAAAGGTGTCACGGTTGATGACACCTCGCTAGTGCGTTGCTTCAACTCGTATTTGGTTTCGAATCCTCAATTTTCGGAGGAAGATGTTTCTAGCTCTGTGCCCTCTGGCCCGTCTGGCAGTGCGGCCAGCGCTGGAGGGCAAGAGCGTCCCAGCTTCACAGTTCCAGCTATTGCAGCCACTGCCTGTGCTCATGCCTGCAGCGTTGCGCCCAGCTCTTCCTCGAGTGATGTGGTCGCCTCGGCCTCAGCCACCAGGGAGTGCTTGAATCGCATTGCTGCGTCTCTCCGCTGCGAAGCGGAAGATTTGGGAACGGGTGGGACTGTGGAGGTGGGGTCGGGAGATTCGGATTGAATTTCAGTGTTCTCGCCTGCCTTTCTCTTTTGGCAGGGTTGAACCTTTTGTTCGTGCGTTGGCCTTCGGAGCCTCTCCTTACTTTCAGTTTCTGTTCTCAATCTTATCCTCGGCCGTGCTTTGCTTCCTGGGCTTTCAGGCTGTTGTGGCATAGGTTGCTGCCCGCGACCTAAGCGGCGACCGCCTGTCCGCTTAGGACGCTCTCCGCGTTGCCGATTTTTTCCAGTTGAGGGTCAGCTGGTGCCTGTCCTCGCCTGTCCTTCGCCTCTGTGACAGGCTTGGCTCTTGTTTGGCGAATTTATTTCTTTTTGTGCACTGTCTCTGGCATGTCTGCCAGACAGTGGGAGCCCGAGCCGAGGGTCGATCCGTGCGGGGAGGGGGCCATAGTGGGCGCTCCGAAAGGAACTCGCGAAGCCCCCTCCCCAAAGCGGCTCTCGCCGAGGCGAGGTCTTTCAGTGCTGGCAGGTCCCGCCCTGCCATTTCTCTGCACTATGCGGTGGGTCCGTGGAGACCAAAGTCCCCTCTGCTCCCACCTCTTTTCGTTGGCCTCCGTTGGTCGCCCTCTGCTCCGCCCCCGTCTCATCAGCTACGGACTTTGCCCAGTGCGAGCACTGGCCGCAGGATGCTGACATGTCAGTCGTCGGCCGTGCTCCTACCAGGATTCTCGCCATCCGCATACCAGTTTTGGCTGTGGAGTTAAAAAGCACGCCTGGTTCAGGCAGATGCTCGCACGAGAAAGGCATACACCTGACTCTTCTCGGTAAGGATAAGAACAAATTTCGCACCGCGGGGAAAAAGATTTACCCCAATGGGCTCTGTAGGTCTCTTGCACGAGCCATTTTCTCCTCAGTGGAGCAATGTGTGGTCTCCGAGAATGAGGACGCGGATTTCGTTTTCGACCGAGATTCCCCCGAGGTGCTGATGTCTCTGTTTGATTTCCTTGTTCCGTGGAGCAACGACGCCGGCGAGCGTTTCTCGGTTCCTTCGGACTTTAAAGGCCAGACAAAGAATCGTAAAAGGGCTGACCCAGAGAAACACAGAGTTCTGTCTGAGTCCGCCTATCTTCCTGGGCCGGACTCTTCTCACCATGCAGGAAGCTCTCGAGGCTAATGAAGAGCAGAGATATAATATCGAGAGTCAGGCAGAGGCTGCGGCAGCAGCCCACGACAGCCATTTTGGCCTGTCCCGTCATCTCCCTCCGCTCTCGTCTCCTCCGACGTCGTTGACGCCGTCTGTGGTCCCCCCTCCTCCACCACCTCCAGTCTTGAGCGAGGCTCAGTTGGCCCGCGTCGAGACGAACCGAGCAGCGGCCAGGGCCAGGCGCGCGGAGCGCGCCAGGCAGGCTCACTCCTTCCCAGCTCCCTGGAGCGCTGGAGGCACGCTCAGGGGCAACTTCTTCGGGGAGCCCTCTCGGGTTCAGGGCCCCGATCTTTTCTCCTTTGGAGGATAAGCTGGTGGTGGCGTTAGTGGTGGATCCTCGTGAGGTCCCGTGCGCCACCCACCGGTTTCCCTCGCGGGACGAGCACGCAGACAGCGAAGCCGAGCGTCGCATCATCAACCTCCCTCCTCCCTCCTCCCTCCTCCCTCCTCCTCCCTCCCTCCTCCTCCTCCCCTCCTCCCTCCTCCCTCCTCCCTCCTCCTCCCTCATCCCTCCTCCTCCCTCCTCCTCCCTCTCCTCCTCCCTCCTCCCTCCTCCTCCCTCCTCTCCTCCTCCCCTCTCCCTCCTCTCCTCCTCCTCCTCCTCCTCCTCCTCCTCCTCCTCCTCCTCCTCCTCCTCCCCTCCCCCCCTCTTCCTCCTCCTCCTCCTTCCTCCTCCTCCTCCTCCTCCTCCTCCTCCTCCCTCCTCCCTTCTCCTCCTCCTCCCCTCCCTCCTCCCTCCTCCCCTCCTCCCCCCCTCCTCTCCTCCTCTCCACCTCCTCCCCCTCTCCTCCCTCCTCCCTCCTCTCCTCCTCCTCCTCCTCCTCCTCCTCCTCCTCCTCCTCCTCCCTCCTCCGTCTTCCTCCCTCCTCCCTCCTCCCTCCTCCCTCCGCCCTCCTCCCCTCCTCCTCCTCCTCTCTCCTCCTCCTCCTCCTCCTCCGCCTCCTCCTCCTCCTCCTCCTCCTCCTCCTCCTCCTCCTCCTCCCTCCTCCCTTCTCCCTCCTCCCTCCATCCTCCCCTCCTCCTCTTCCTCCTCCCCTCCTTCCTCCTCCTCCCTCCTCCCCTCCCTCCTCCCTCCTCCCCCTCCCTCCTCCCTCCTCCCTCCTCCGCCACCTCCCTCCTCCTCCTCCTCCTCCTCCTCCCTCCTCCTCCTCCCTCCTCCCCCTCTCCTCCTCCCTCCTCCCTCCTCCCTCCTCCCTCCTCCTCCTCTCCTCCTCCCTCCTCCTCCTCCTCCTCCCTCCTCCTCCTCCTCCTCCTCCTCCTCCTCCTCCTCCTCCTCCTCCTCCTCCTCCTCCTCCTCCTCCTCCTCCTCCTCCCCCTCCCCCTCCTCCTCCTCCTCCTCCTCCTCCTCCTCCTCCTCCCTCCCTCTTCCTCCTCCTCCTCCTCCTCCTCCTCCTCCTTTCTTGCTTCCGACCGTTCTCCTTGCACTGCCTGCTGCGTCACGCCACGTGCCACGCGCGTGCGCCCCTCTCCTTGCGTCGCCGAGGACCTGTTCACGAACGAAGAGGTGCACGAGGCGGGCTGGGAAGCGCCTCAGCGGGGCTGCAGCCCGCAGCTCAGGCAGCAAGCGGGCGGCAGCGGAGGGTACAGTATGCTGGGGTTCGGTTATGCTTCTAGCTGCCTCATTCGCCTTGTTTGTGGCCGTGCCGACAGGTGCCTGAGGAGTAATGGGCGCCATTGGTAGGGGAACGAACAATGACGTAAACTTAAAAACTCGGAGGTCCGCGCAGATTTCTCGGATCCGCGCCGGACCCCCTTGGCGGCGTCTCTGACGCCGTCCCTGGCGCGCTCTGCGCGCCATGGAGGGGGTCCAGCGCGAATCCGAGAAATCCGCGCAGACCTTTGATTTTTTATGTTTATGTCATTGTTCGTCCCCCTAGTTGGGTCACCCGTACGTTCCTCTTCTTTTTCTTTTTTACTATTTCTGATTTTACCCATCGGGGGCGAGGGGAGTAGGATTGCAGGCGGTCTCTCTCCCCCAACCCCCGAGTTCCACCCCAAAAGTTGGCTGTTCAGAAGGGAGGGGAAACTCGGGGATACGACCCTGGCGCGCTATTCGAACGTACCCCTATCGAGGATAGGCGCCCCTCATCGTGTCAGGTCCCAAATTTGGGGGGTGAGCGCAGAGAGTGGGGGAAACCAGAGGAGGGCAGGAGCGCGCAGGGAAAAGGTGTGGGGGTGTCGGGCAGCACCAAGGTGCTTACGAAGTGCTCGTTCCAGAGAGTCAGGGCGGTCCCGAGCGCTTCCTGGAACGGCCGCGACACGCCAGGCACCCCCTGGATTCGCGCCCCCCCCCTCGGCGGCGAGCGAGGGGGGGAAGTGAGAAGGGTCCGGCCTTCTCAGATTGCTCGGAAGCCCCCACGGCCTTCCGAGACGCTTTCTAAATCTCCCCAGGAAACGCAGACAACATCTCAGAAGGCGCGAGGGCTTCTCAGATGTCCCGCCGCCTTCTGAGAAGGCCTTCTCCTTCTCGCTTTCCCCCCCCTCGCGCGCCGCCGACCCCCGAGGATCCGTGAGTCAAGCTTCGCGCCCGATCTGCTTCCAGGCTGCGGCGGCCTCGCTCTCTGCGATCTATTCACAGACGTCGTGATGTCGTCGCAGGCCCAGCAGGGCTCTGCCTGCTTCGGCCTCCTCGGTGTCCTGCCCGATGGGCTGCCGACCCCAGCGGGCGAACCGGGCAGGTGGGAGGCCACATGCGAGCCCCGGCCTCACCACCCCGCGATTGCTGACTGGGCGAGGTGGGGCTCGCTTCGCTCGGGAGGTCCCGAGCGAAGTGAAGCCAACCTCCCCCCTCAGTAATCGTGGGGTGGTGGGGTAGGGCTCGCACGTGGCCTCCTGGTGGGCCTGCCCGATGGACCCGCCCCCTCGTGTAGGCCTGCCCAGCTGGGCGGAGACGGGGTCGGCCTGCCAGACGGGCTGTCCGGCGGGGTACCTGGACGCCCGACGTCGTGGTCTCGTCGCAGCATGGCTCCCTAGAGGCCTGGCCTCCTTCCCAAGGGCCAGCTCTTCGTTCCGCTTCGGACGGTCCTAGGGACCCATTCAGGGCCCCCGGAGGCCGAGCAAGTTGCCGAACATGTCGGAGCCCTGCGGGGCCTCGCACCGCGCAGCAAACCACCACAGACAGAGACATGCGTGTAAGCGACATCGAGGGGGAACCGCCCCGCATTTCCGCACCTGTCAGTGACCCGTCAGCGCGCTCGGCACCGAGGCGAGAGCGCGGCGTTCGTCCGCGGCTCCGTTGGAAAGTGGGTCCGTACATGGACGTGTGAACACCGCACCCTGCGGTGCAAGATACGGTAGATTCGTGTCGTGTCGACGCGGCGGCGACCCCAGCGCGGCACTCACGGTTGAATGCCGCCAGCGGCGTGGAATCGGTCGACATGGAACGATTTGGTGATCGGAGAGCCGCCCATTGTGCAAGGTCGAACGATCCACGCGGTTTCAGTAACAAATGCCGGGGTCGTCATGACATGAACACGCCGTATTCCCCTTGGTTCCCGTTTTGATGTCGGCGGCGTGGTGGCGAGGGAGGTCGGAGTGGGCAACATACTCTCGCACCTCGTAGTCGCTGTTCGCCTTGAGATCCACATCCACCTCGGGGGGGGGCGAAGCCAAGGGGGGGCATCAGCATCATGTCCTCGAGGTTCGCAAGTGCACGATCTTTTCTTGCCCGTCTGCTGCAGCACCAGGACGGCATCAGGTTGTCCGAACGCAGCGCGTCTAAAAGGGGATCGGCCTCCGTCCCTGCCGCTGAGAGCGCCTGCTGTCAAAAGGCCGGAGTACAATGGAACACCCGCCGCCACCGCCTTTCACCCGTTTCAACTTTTCGGCAAGGGTGAACTCTGGCATCGCAGGCTTGGCGGAAGGCCGGAGCGAAGCGCTGGTTCGCCCTACCGACATGCCTGGTGATGTGATGGCCGTGATTTGTGATGGCGATGATGACCATGATGCTGCTGATGATGATGATGCTTATGATGATGATGATGATGATGATGATGATGATGATGATGGTGGTGGTAATAGTGATGGTGATGGTGAGGATGATGATGATGATGGTGGTGGGGATGATGATGATGGTGGTGGTGGTGGTGATGCTGATGCTGATGACGATGACGATGGTGATGATGCTGATGCTGAAGCTGATGCTGATGACGATGACGATGATGATGATGCTGCTGCTGATGATGATGATGATAATGATGTTGCTAATGATGATGATGATGCTGATAATGCTGATGATGATGTTAATGCTGATGCTGATGATGCTGCTGATGATGACGATGATGCTGATGATGATGATGATCATGATGATGATGATGATGATGCTGATGATGATGATGATGATGATGATGATGATGATGATGGTGCTGCTGATGATGATGATGATGATCATGCTGCTCCTGCTGTTGCTGCTGCTGCTGATGATGATGATGATGATGGTGGTGATGGTGATGGTGATGGTGATGGTGATGGTGATGGTGATGGTGATGGTGATGATGATGATGATGATGATGATGATGATGATGATGATGATGATGATGATGATGATGATGATGATGATGATGATGATGACGATGACGACGACGACGACGACAATGAGGAGGAGGAGGAGGAGGAGGAGGAGGAGGAGGAGGAAGAGGAGGAGGACTAGGAGGAGGAGGAGGTGTCCTCAGGGGCGACGTGAGGGGGGGATTTGCTCGGGCAAGGATAAATCGACCCCCCCATCGCCCATTCGTCGCCGATCCAAGCCTCATGGCCCTCTCCGCCCAGGAACGTGTGGTTTCGCCATCGGGATCCTGTCGCCGATCTATCGGCGATGTATCGCCGATTCAAGCTCGATGTTCCCCCCCCCCCCCTGAGTCGGTCCCCCCTACCGGTACCTCTCATTTTCTCTGGAGCGTGGCGGAAGACGAGCCTGGCTGGGCGGATCGTTCAGACTGCGAGCTTGGGCGATGGACGGCGACGCGCCGTCGGTGGCCTCGTTCGCAGCGTGGAGAGAGCGCGCGTCGAAGCTGACTGCATGTCTACGACGCTCGACAGAACTGGTTTAGATCGACGCAGGAAGCTGTGAAACGTGACTGGGGCCACCCCATCCACTCTTTTCCAGCCCTGGCCAGCTTACCTCTAGCATTTCCAGCCCCGGCGACCCCATCCCAGCTGTTTCGGGCCCCTTCAACCCCTGTCTCTTCTTTCCAGCCCTGGCCACTTCCGCTTTAGATTTGATTTTCAGCTTTGCTCTTTCAAGCTGACCGTACATATCAACGTCACCGTCTGAATTTTCGAGCTTAAGCAAGTTCATTGGGGATTGGATGCAACAGCGTGCTCCGCAGAGGCACGTGCTTCAGCGCGATGCTTCATGAATTTGTTGGTGGCAGATCCGAGATCAGTTCTTGCTTGGAGCTTGTGGCATGGGTGTTGTGAGGAGGGCAGGTGGCGGTCAGGAACATCCTCAACGTCGGGCGGCACCATTTCTCCTTTGATGATCGACTCATGATCAGGACAGGCAGCCCATCTGGCGACCCTTTTGCAGCTTTCTTTGCACACGTGTTCAGCTGGGGGCTTTGGTATGTTTTTTTTCGAGAGGTGCCAAAGCTCAGGCCGACGCACTCTCTCCAGCATGGTGAAGAGGGAAGAGGAAGGGGGGAAGGGCAGCGTGCCGTGCGTATTCCGGATTAGACCGAAATCAGGCAGTTTCAATGATAGTTGGGACCTTCAGCATCTCGGAATGTTACGTCTTAGGGGGTGGCTCCTGGGCTCATTTCCGTGCCGTTGGGTCCTCGTTTTCAGTCCGCAGCGCTCCCTTCCCTGTCCCCGCCCATCTCGGCACACCCCTTGCGCAGGTCGTGGCACCACGGGGAGCTCCACCTACTGCCTCAGTGGGCGCAGACGCAGGAGCTCTCGCGCCCATTTTGGCACACACCTTCACGCGTGTCGTGGCACCACGGGGAGCTCCCTTCTGCGGTCTGAGTGGGCGCCGTCGCGTGCGGGCCTGCGCCCGTCGCGCGGATCGTGGCACCACAGGGAGCTCCACATATGGCATCAGTGGGCTCAGACGCATTCGAGCCTGGGCCCACTTCGGCACGCCCTTCGCGCAGATCGTGGCACCACAGAGCTACAGGGCTTGCGCCCGTTTCGGCACACCCCTCAGCCAGATGGTGGTGGTCCCACAGGGAGGTCCACCTACGGTCGCAGTGGGCGCAAACGCATGCGGGCCTGCGCTCATCTCGGTGTACGCCTCACGCATATCGTGGCCCCTTAGTAGACAGCGCCACCTAAGGTTTCGATGGGCGCAGAGCAGAAGGTCCGCCTACTATCACAGAGGGCGCACACGCATGCGGGTCTGCGCCTATGTCGCCACAGCTTTACATACAGGTCAGTGAAACAAGTTGATAACAAACACGGCACGGGGGTGGAAACCTACCCACTGTTGAAACAATGCGGGCAGGGCCCGACGTTTCAGTGGCATGAGCCTGTCAATGTTACGGAACATTACCGCGTATTCGTTGCGTTGTGTGTGTGGCGTGCATTTCGGTGTGGTGACGAAGCCGTGAAGCATGCATTGAGACCGCCCATGCTTGCGGTCCTGTGAGGGGTCAATTTGGAATCGTACTCTGGCATTTAATTGAGGGGCGCGCAGCCGCAGGGTGATCCGCGCGCACAGATCGGAGGTCGGCCCCACGGGCCAGCGGCGCCGCGGCGCGCGCGATGCTGCGGCGCGTCCGCGTGGCGCGCCGCCCGAGTGTTTGCCGCGCGCGCGGTTCATTGGCGATTCTGCGTGGACACACGGAGGCCGCCCGCGGACGCGCGCGCAGGCGCGCCGCGAGGATCTCGCGCAGTGAAGGTCGAGGCGCGCCTTGGCGCTCTTCGCAAGCAGAGCTGCAGGCACATGTTTGTTCGATTCGCGCCGCGCTCGCGGCGCGCGCGCCCCGTGCTCGCGGCGCGCGAGCCTGCTGCGCGGGCCCGTCGGCCGTTCTGGCCCGCCCGCCCACTCCTGGGCGCGGGACTCCGATGGAGGCGGCCCGCGACCGCGTCGCGGACTGGGCGTCCCGCGCGTGCAGGAAGTACGTCGACGCGTGTCGGCACGAATGCGATGCGACCGCCGAGGCGGTGTCGCTGCTTCAGGCCCTGCCGCCAGCGCGAGCGGCGGTCCAGGCTCGGCACCGGTGCCAGCGCGCTAAGACGTTCAGGCGCTAGCTCGGCGCGCGATGCGACCTGCGCCAGAGTTTTCACTGGGTCGCGGCAGGGCTTGCGCGCCCCGACCAAGCGATCTTGGGCGCCCACGGCGTCGGTTCCGACGCGCAGGATGGCCTCTAGCCTGGGGCGGTGCCTGCCACCGCGGGCGTCCCCGCGCGTGGCGCTCGCGGGGGGGCAATCCTGGCTAGGTCGCCGGCCCCATTTTTGGGGCCTCGGGCGTCGCGCCCCGAGGTTGGGCATGCGAGAAGGGGGCGCCTAGATCTGTGGGGGGCGCGCAGCAGCAGGGTGATGCGCGCGTGCAGATTGGAGGTCGGCCCCGCGGCGCGCGCGATGCTGCGGCGCGACCGCGGGGCGCGCCGCCCGAGTCTTCGCCGCGCGCCTCGCCGTTCATGTGCGATTCTGCGTAGGCCCGCGCAGGCCGGTCGCGGACGCGCGCGCCGGCGCGGCGCGAGGATCTCGTGCAGTGCAGATCGCGGCGCGCCCGGGCGTTCGCGGCGTTGCAGGCGCGGATTTGTTGGATGTGCTGCGCGCGCCCCTGCGGCGCGGGCCCGTGCTCGCGGCGCGCGCGCGCTTGCGGCGCGGCCTGTCGGTCGTTTTGCCCCGCCCGCCCACTTTTGGGCTCGGGGCTGCTCCGATGGAGGTGGCCCGTAACCGCGTCGCGGACTGGGCGTTCCGCGCGTCTAGGGAATGCGTCGACGCGCGCCGGCGCGAAGACGATGCGACCGCCGAGGCGGTGTTTGCTTCTGAAGTCCCTGCCGCCAGCGCGAGTGGCAGACCGAGCTCGGCACCGGCGCTTGCGCGCTAAGTCGGTCAGGAGCTCGCTCGGTGCGCGCGGCGACCTGCGCCAGAGTTTCCATTGGGTCGCGGCAGAGCTTGCGCGCCCCGACCAAGCGAGCTTGGGCGCCCGCGGCGTCGGATTCGACGCGCAGGATGGCCTTTGGTCGGGGTCGGCTCCTGCCGCCGCGAGCGCCCCCGCGCGCGTGGCGTTCGCGGGGGGCGGGGGGGGGGGCAATCTGGCTAGGTCGCCGCGCACATCGTTGGGGCGTCGCGCCCCGAGGTCGGGCATGCGAGAACGGGGCGCCTAGATTTGTGGGGGGCGCGCAGCAGCAGGGTGATGCGCGCGCGCAGAGCGGAGGTCGGCCCCGCGGCGCGCGCGACGCTGCGGCGCGGCCGCGAGGCGCGCCGCCCGAGTCTTCGCCGAGCGCGTTTCAACGCGATCCTGTATGGAAGCACGCCACGCAGGCCGGCCGCGGACGCGCGCGCAAGCGCGCCGCGAGGATCGCGCGCAGTGCAGGTCGCGGCGCGCCCTGGCGCTCGCGGCGCTGCCGGCGCGTGTTTGTTGGAAATGCTTCGACCGCGCGCGCGCCTGCGGCGCGGGCCCGTCGGCCGTTCTGCCCCGCGCGCACATTCCCGGGCGCGGGGCTGCTCCGATGGAAACGGCCCGTGACCGCCCCGCCCGCCCGCTTGCAGTGGCCTCTGGTCGGGGGTGGTGCTTGCCGCCGCGAGTGCCCCCACGCGTGGCGCTCGCCCAGGGTGGCGACGCTGGCTAGGTCGCCGCGGCCATTGTCGGGGCGTTGCGCCCCGAGGTCGGGCATGCGAGAAGGGAGCGAGGAGGAGGAGGAGGAGGAGGAGGAGGAGGAGGAGGAGGAAGAGGAAGAGGAAAAAGAGGAAGAAGAGGACTACTATACATCATAATAACAATAATAGTAAGAGTGAGAAGAATAAGCAGAAACAAGGAATACTACTATAAATAATGATAAGACGAATAAGACGAATATTCATATTAATAATGATAGCAATACCAATATTAATAATACGAATAATACTGATACTAAGAAGAGGAATACTAATCATACTAATAAGACAACTACAAATGATACGACTAATAATACTGATAATAAGAATAAGAAGAACCATACTAACATTACTAAGAATAATAATAAGACGAGGCGGAGGAGGAGGAGGCGGAGGAGGAGGAGGAGGAGGAGGAGGCGGAGGAGGTGGAGGAGGAGGTGGAGGAGGAGGAGGAGGAGGAGGAGGAGGAGGAGGAGGAGGAGAAGAGGGGACGCTTCCAGGGCCCTCGAAAAGGGGAGAGGGCGGGCAGCGGGCCGCAGGGGGACGCCGAGGCGCAGGCCCAGGACCCCGCGAGGGGAGGAGGGGGGGAGTAGGAGGCCTCCAGGGTTCCTCAAGAGGAGGGAGGCGGGGAGGGCACGGGCCTCGGGGCACACTGGAAGGCCGCTGGCCCCCAGCCACCACCTCCATGGTTACCACGTAGTCGTTGAGCACCTCATCGTCCTCCCGCCGCGCCGACGCCTCGGCCCGCCTCCCGCCGCGCCGACGCTTCGGCTCCGCCCGCCTGCCTCGACGGGGGCCTGGCCTCCCCTACAGTCCACGCGCCTAGTATTAAGTCGGTCGGGCGTGCTCTGTTTTTCTTTCCAAATCCGCCTGTCGGAGGACATGCCCGACCTAAGCCTAGTAAGGACGTGCGCCTTCATCTAGGGTGCCCTTGCGTCCTTGCCTCTGCCGCCCGTCCTTTGCCGTTTTCACTGGTCGCCCGTCGAGGTGTCCTTACCACCCGTCCTCAATCCATGTCTTGACTGTACCCCCCCCTGAGACAGTTCCCCCGGTCCCCCTCTGGCGGAAGTCCTGCAGCCTGCTAGAGGTGGAGCGACTGGGGGGAGTGGGGGGGGGGCGATGGCCCAGCCTGCCCATCTAAGCGGCCTCAGACACCGCCAAAGATGGCCCGGCACGGCCTCGAGGTGGCTCCAAGATTGCTCTGTGCTGGGCTCCGCGCGACCGCTGGGAGACTCCGAGGAGCGCCTCGGAGGCGCTGCGTGCGTCTTGGGCGGGGGGTCAGCGGTCCCTCCCCCTTGTCGGGGAGGAGCAGAAGGAGGCGGAGGAGGAGGCGGAGGAGGAGGAGGCGGATGAGGAGGAGGACCCCCTTGTCCAGGAGCAAGGTGCGGGACGGCTTCCGCGGCATCGCCGCCGAGCTGCGCGTCCGTGCCCCCGCGCTCGCCGAGAGGCTGGCGAAGATCAGGCTGCGCCGGCCTTCGGGGGCGTTGCCCTTCGCTGGAGCCGGCACGAACGAAATGGGTACGGCAAGAATGGGTACAATACCCAACAGCAGTTCCTGTTCATTTTGAACAGGACTCGCTGTCCGCGCCACCGCGGCCTGTGTCCATCTGAGGCAGAAGGCCGCCTGCCCAACAGCGGCCGCTGTTGCTGTTGGGTTGGGACAACATTTGTTGTTGGGCATTCTACCCTTTTGTCCGTACCCATTTCGGGCGTCCAATTGGAAAGCCCGCTCGCCTCGCCATGCAGGAAGCGGGTTCTGCAGGAAACCAAGGGCCGCCACTGCTGCGGTTCGCGATCCCACATCCTCATCTTCGTCGTCCTCTCTTCTCCCCCGGGAAGGCTTCGCGCTTCGCGTGGGAGCGAGAAGTTGTTTTCGCGCAGCGCGAGAGCGCGAACATAGCTGCTCTTGGGAAGCGGGTCCTAGGCCTCCGCAGGCCCCGCGACTGTCAGACATTCGGTCAGGGTGAAGAGCTTGTCCCCAGCGTCAGCCCGACATGCTGATGCTCTGCGCGCGTCGCCCCCCCCCCCCCCCCCCCCGGGGCGACGCGTGCGCCGAGAAGACTTGTAGCGTAGGCTCCGTGGCGGGCGCTGTCTGGCCATACCCCTCGGGAAACTGCACTCTACTGCAACGTGCTTGTCTGTTTGGTTCGGACGGGTGCCTTCGTGGAGGGTGCACAGTGCTGGCATGGTCTTTCTGCATCCCGTGTCCCGAGGGAAGGCCCCCAAGGTCCCGGACCCTCTGCCCTCAGGACCTGCGTCTTTCTTGCCAGTCGCCGCCGCAGGGCCCATGTCGCTCCGATCCGATCCGACCTTGTTTTTTTCGGGCCTGCTCGATCCGGGTCGCCTCCTGTTCCGACGATGCTGGGCCGATGCGTGTGGGCGCTGAGCCCTCCTGCACGCTGGGCGATTCGCTTCTCGGTGCCCCCGTGGGGCCCTGTCGCTGGTGCAGCCGATCTGCCCCGCCGCAGGCGGGAAAGTCTCTGGGCGCTGCGCAGCCGATCCGATCCGATGCCGACTCCGTGCCGGTGCGGCCAGCCCCGACGAGCGCTCCGGCCCCCTCCGATTTTCCGATTCGATGCTGACCGATCTTGCCGTCGAGGGCTCGGCGTCGACCCAGGCCCCGAAGGTGTCGCGGACGGGATCACGGCAGGCGTCTCCTGGCCAGGTTCTCGGAGCTCGGCTGTTGGGCTGAAACAGCGTAGCGGTGGGATTGGATATGCGTAGCCGTGTGCGATGCCACAGCGTGATGTCGCAGCGTGGTTCTACAGTAGAGAGAGATAGAGAGAGGGAACAAGAGAAGGAGAGGGAGAGAGAGAGAGAGAGAGAGAGCGATAAAGAGAAAGAGAGAGAGAGATTCCGAAGTCATTTTGGCTCAAGACGGAGGTGCTCTCGGGAGCGCCGAAGCCGCGCCGTGCCCTCTGTCTGAGTGCGCGCGGCTATCCTCCTGGCGGTGCGATGGGGCGAGGCGGGCGTGGCGGCTTGGGTGCGCCATGGCCCCTCGCCGGCACCGGTGCATCCGTCGGTGATGCCGCCGAGCTCATGCTGCGCCTGCAGGCGGCGGCGGCGGGCTCGGAGGTGAGGCAGGAGCAGGTCAAGCAGTGGCGAGGCGTCCCGGCTCGCCTACAGGCCCACCAACAAATGTTCTGAGGACTTTCTGTGGTCTGCACGAAATGCTCTTAGCATTGTTTCTGTTCTTGGGACATTCTTGGGTTCCAAGAACACATCGTGGTAGGCCTGTAGGAATGCTGGGACGGTCGGTCCCTGCTCAAGCAGGAGACGACGGCAGCTGGCAACAGCAGGCGCGGTCGGCAGCTGGCGCGGCCCGCCCCGTCCTGGGCGAGCGCGCGCAGCAGATGCCGAGCGCTGCGGGCGAGGTGGTGGCCATCCTGGGAGGCCCCACGCTGGCGGCGAGCCTCCAGGAGCTTTGGGCGCGTGGGCGGCGGCTCCCGCCCGTGCTGGAGCGGAGGTGCTGCGAGTTGGGCGCGGCCAGTGCGCTGCTCCGGCACTCGGGTGGCGAGGCGGAGGGCCTCCCGAGGCATCCTCGCGCCTCTGGGCCCAAAGATGCCCCGACCTGAGGCGGTCCGGACCGGTCCTTCTGAGGCGTCGTCAGGTGCTGTGCGAGAGATGGTCTGGCCAGTTTTGCCTGGGATGCCCTCGCATGTCTGGGCGCGGCCAGTGTCGCCTGAGACGTCCTCGCATTTTTGGGCTCCGATTTGACCTGACCTGGGGTGGTCCGGCCAGGTTCGCAGATGCTCCTCCTCCTCCTTTTTTCCACGCGGGAAAATAGTCAAAGACCGTCGCGGCCAATTTCGCATGGTGCGCCGTGCTCGTGCCAATTCGCGCGGGAACCAAGTCAGATACCACCGTTCCGAGGGTCACCACGTTGTGCCGCATGCGAGCCGTGTTGTGCTGCTTTCATTGGGAATACAAGAACGATTCAACGTATGCGATCTGTTTATTCGCGGCTTCGAGACGTCCCAGCCGTGCCGTATGCAATGGTACACCCAGGCTCTGCTGCTATCGAGGATCTCGCCATGGAGCTTTCACAGAGGGCGGTGTCGGACAGACTCGAGATGTTGCTCAGGCGTCGGGATTTTCTATTTGAGCATGTATACCGACACCGCAGATCCAACATCTTGTCCACTCTGTCCAAGCTCGTTCTGGGGTCAGCAAGTTCTATTCAGGCTGTCCAAGGTCTTCACGGAGGTGGAATTATTCCAGACCCTGCCGGTGTTGTCGCAGCATTGGGAAGAACATTCAATGTGCAAACAGCCGACGGGGCACTCCGGCAGAGGTGGTTGGAGCGATTGCGCGGGATCTTATTAACCAGTCTCTCCGACCTCACCCCGACGATAGAGGACGTGGACGCGGTGTTGGCCGACCTTCTTCGGCGCCCGGGCGCGATGGGGTGCCATTTGCGACGTTCGGCATCACGCGCGCGGTCCTTGCTCCGGTGTTTTACGACATCGTGTTGGGAATGCTACGGGGTAGTGTCGCTCCTCCCGAGGACTTCAAATATGGTGTTCTGATTTGCTAACCCAAAAAATTCTGGCTCGGCGCTGCCTGACGGCACATGATGTTTCGAGGCCAGCAACACCAAACCCTTGTCTATTGTAGATGCCAGCAACCTTCTCATCGCCTCCAGTTTCCGGGTTGTTTTGGACCAGTCTGTGGCTCCACGGATTTCGCCGACGCAGCGCGGTTTGAAAAAATGCGAGCCGTGTTGTGCAGGAGGTGATCCACATGCCGATGCCACGAACGAGCTCCAAGGTGCGCCGCGCGCGAGCTGCCTCGCACGGGGGCCCATTTAGGGACCGCCGCCACAACAGTCACAATGGCGCGCCCGCGTGGGAACGACTTCGGGGGCCGTGGCCACATGAACCACGATCACACCGCACGAAATCGCACAAACACGACTTATCAGCGGCTGCCGCACCACAACCATTGTTGATGCAATCGCCACGGCGACCTTTCCCTCCTCATCCGTTTTCCCTCTTCGCTCCTCCCCTCTTCTCGTTTCCCTCCGGGTCGGCTCCGACGGAAAAACGAAGAACGAGGAGGGTGAGGTGGGGCTTGAGGAGGAAAGCGAGGAAGAGGAGGAGGCGGACCACCACGACGACGATGATGGCGGCGGCTGTTGCCTCCGCGGCGTCGCGCGCGCGCTGCGGCGAGCGCGGCCCGTCTCATCTCTGGGCTTAGAGAGGCCGCGCGAAAGGTGGTCGGGTAAGACCCGCCTGCGACATCCTCGCAATCCAGGCGCCGAGATGCTGCGCGGGAAATTGTCCAGCCACCTCCGCCTGAGACATTCCTCGCTTCATGGGTTTCCGAGATGACGCGCGCGAGGTTGTCCAGCCAGTTTTTTGCTTGAACTATCCTCGCAAGTCCGATACGCCAAGACCTGAAGTGGCCCGGCCAGCGTCGCATGGGGCCTCCTCGGAACTATGGGTTCTCAGATGCCGCGTGCGACGTTTTCAAGCCGGTGTCGCTTGAGACGTCCTCGCAATTCTGGTTTCAATATGCCTTGTTTGGAGGTGGTACGGACCACCGATCCTTCTGAAACGCCGCCAGATGCCGCGCGAGAGCTGGTGTGGCCAGTATTGCTGGAGACGTCCTCGCTGCTCTGGGCTCGGAGATGCCGCATGTGAGGTGTTCCAATCAGTTCCGCCTGAGGTATCCTCGCAACTCTGGGCTCCTATGCTTCGACTTGAGGTGGTCCAGCCAGGTTCGTCTGCGATATGCCGGGCATCATGTTATCCAGACCATGTCGCCGGAGACATCCTCACAACGCTGGGCTCAGAGATGCCGCGCGAGAGGTGGTCCGACCAGCTTCGCCTGCGACGACGTCGCATTTCTAGGCTCCGAGATGCCGCCTACGAGGTTGACCAGTTAGTTTCGCTTGAGATATCCTCGCAACTTTGTGCTCCGAGATACCGCGCAACATGTTTCCAGGTATCTTTGCATGACACATCTTCGCAACTTCCTTGGTTCCGATATGCTCTGACCTGAGGTGGTCTGGCCACCTTCGCATGAGAGTTGCTCCACATTTGAGACTCAAGGATGCCGCGCGCGAAGTGGTCTGGCAAGTTTCGCCTTAGACATCAGCGCAAGTCTGGGCTCAGAGGTTCCCTGACCTGAGGTGTTCAAGGCAGTTTCTCCCGAGACATCTTCGCAGCTCTGGGTTCGGAGATGCCGCGCGAGAGCTGGTCTGGCCAGTTCCGCCTGAGACATCCTCGCAACACTGCGCGCTGGCCAAGTCCCTGAATTGGAACGGTACTCGCGTGTCAAGGCCGGCCACATCCTTTTTTGGGTGCGTATGGAGTTGCCGCTCGAGTGCCAGCCACATCCGTGATTGGGAATGGTGCTCTCGCCTGAGCTCTGGCTACATCCCCGTCTGGGATTGGTGCTGTCGCCTGCGCGGCGGCCACATCCTTCATCATTAGGCGTGGTGTTCTCGCCTCAGCGCCGGCTACATCCCCAGGTGGGTATCATGCTGCCGCTCGAGCGCCAACCACAATCACATGCTGGGACGCTTATGGACAGGGTGTGCGGGGATTGTTGTTTGATACAGTCAACCCGCATAGTAAGGACGGGCAACCTTCCCAAGGGCTCTCTTGCATCCTTGCCCCCTCGGCACATCCTTGGCCACTCTCGCTGGCCGCGCCCCCTTCGACAAGCTGCGACATGGGCGCCCGAGGCCCTTGCATCCCGATCGCGCATCCTCGTGATACGGGCCGGGTGTAATGTGCTTTTCCACTGAACATCGTATGCCGTTTCTCTCAGGACGGGAAAAAATCACGGACACAATTACCAGGAAAAGATGGGGAACTATGGAAAGCGGGGGGGGGAGATGATAACGCAGAAAAGATGGGAACATCTGATGAACCTCAGGATCTGTTTGATTTGTTTGTGCGTCCCTGGGCCCCTTCATTCTCTTCCCTTCTTTCCGCCTGGATGCCCTCTGCGAAGCTCGGGCCCGGCCTCCGCCGGGCTGCCCGGCCAGAGCAGCGCGCGCCGGCGCCAGGCTGAGCAGGGCAGAGAAGGACGCCGTCTTGGCGAGCCGCCCCGCTCGGCTCCCCCAGACAGGGCTCGGTTCGATTCCTCCGATTCGATTCGAGTTCGATGTCGGTGGCTTCTGATTCCGATTCGATTCGACTAGGGGTTCCGATCCGGGCTCCGATTTCTCAGCGGAGGCCCAAGAGCCTGCCGATTTCTGCCGACTCGACTTACCCGACCTGGCTGCTGATCTCCGCCGATCCGATTCATGCCGATTGCCAATCCGACTCATCGATTCGATGTTGGGCTCTCCTGTCCCCCGAGCTCGGGGGTCTTGAATCCCTGAGGGCTTGACGACCTTTCGCCAATCGACTAGTGGGGATCGAGCCAGCTAAATCCTGGAAAGTTCAGATGCATCGAGGGTCTCGACATCATCAGTCGAAGCAGAAAAACGCCATAAGCATATGCACTTCGCGTTCCTTGTGCGGGTCTCTTGGATGCGGGCTTCCTCCTCCTTCCTCCTCCTTCCCGGATCCGCCCTCCCCTTCTTTTTCCTCCTTTTTCTCTTCCTCCTCCTCCTCCTTCCCCTTCCCGAATCTTCCTTCTTCCTCCTCCCTTGGCCATTCTGGAGTATTCCATCTTATTCTTCGTCCAAAATCCCTCCGTAGGGGAACGTGCCCGACTTAATTGCAGCCTCTGGTCGCACCGGCCCTGTCGGGTCTGCGCTGGAGCAGATCGCGACATCGGATCGGGTCTCGAGAGAGCGGATCGAGTCGCCAGCGAGTCGCCCCGAGTCGGACCGGTATTGAAGCGCCGCGCCCCGCTTCCAGCTGGGGAGGAGGAGGAGGAGGAGGAGGAGGAGGAGGAGGAGGAGGAGGAGGAGGAGGAGGAGGAGGAGGAGAGGGAGGAGGAGGATGAGGAGGAGGAGGAGGAGGAGGAGGAGGAGGACGAGGACGAGGACGAGGAGGAGTAGGAGGAGGCCCTGGCCGACACCGGCGAATGGAACCCGATCGCATCGAATCGGATTCGCGGCCCCAGCCCGCGAATTGAAGCGCATCGAATCGGAGCGTAGGCCCTGCATGTCCGCGCGGCTTCGGGACCCCTGGGCCATCACAGATCGATCGGGCTCAAGGAACGCCGCAGCAAGATGGGGTCTCGGCGGCGAGCGAGGGGAGGTTCGAGCCTCGAGGTTCTAGGTCTTCGGGCGTTTTCGTATTGTCTTGGCCGTCCGCTGCCCTCGGGATGCGGTCCAGCGGCTGCGCCTCGCCGAGGGCGTACGGCGTTCGGGGCGTGCCCGGAACGTCCCGAGCGGCCGTCGAAGACCCGAGTTCTGACCCGAAAACTGCGCTCGGCGCCGAGCGGGGGGGGGAAGCGAGAAGGAGACGGCCTCCGCAGAAGGCTCGGAGGCCCTCGCGCCCTCTGAGAAGTTTTTGCTTGTCTTCGGGGAGGGCTCAGAGCCCTTCCCAGAAGGCCCAGGGGGACTTCCGAACCCTCCGAGAAGGCCGCCTCCTTTCTCACTTCCCCCCCTCGCTCGCTGCCGATCCCTGTCGTCCTCGCGCCGCGACAGACATCGATGGGAGGCTCTTGGGTGGCAGTTGCGGCCTCACGGGGCCCCTGCTGGGCCCCGGGGCCGCAAGCAGCCGCTCGGGAGGAGCCGCCGGTCCCCCGCAGGGGGCCCGGGCCCTCCCGGGGAGCCACGGAGCCGGAAGAGGACGGGGTCGATTGCGCGGACGCTCGCGCGCAGGCTTCCCGCGTAAGCGGTCGCGCGGGAGCGCCCTCGTCTCCACGCGGCTGTTGCGCGCTGGCAGGCCCGCGCAGGCCGCGGCGCCAGAGGTCGCGCCAGGTCTTCTCGCGCGAGGCCCGTGTCTTTGCGCCGCTCACGCCGTGGGAACGTCACGGCGCGGGTCCGCCAACGGTTCGGGGCGCCCAGGGTCAAGTCGGGACTGTCCCTCTACAGGAGGGTGATTTGTTTGAGCATTTCTGTTGATTTTTGGGGGACTTTTGTGCGCATGTTTGATTATTCCTCGAAGATCCGCCTGTGGGGGCACATGCCTGACCTCAGCCCAGGGTGAGCCCTCCTCCCCCAGAGCCGCCCACGGAGCTGCGGCGCTTTTCCCCGCGCTGGCCGGGCGGCCCGTGCGGGCGCCGGTGCCGTGCAGTCGCGGGAGGGCGAGCCGAGGCAGCGGTGGCCTTCGGGGGGCCCGTCGCCGAGGCTGGGCGCAGCTCGGAGAGCTGGGGCGTCTGGACCTCAGGAGAGGTCCGGGGGGGCCGATTTTCAGAGGAGGAAAAGGTTCTCATATCGCTATACCCCCCCCTCGTTTTCCGCTGTTTTGGGGCCTCCTGGGCGGCCTTCGTCGCCACCGCCTGATTCGCCTCGATAGTCAGCGGTATCGGTACCTTGTGGTTCCCCCAGATTTGTGGTTGGTGTTGTCTCGGTTCGCTCTGCTCTGGTGCAAGCACCGCGTCTGGAGTCGGCATCGCCCGAGCACTCTTCTGCTACGTGTTCGTCGGCCCCGCCTTGGGCCCCGTCATCGCCCGTGGGTACCCGGGCGCCGCGGCCCCGCACCTGCCATGGTCTCCGCTGGTGGGGCTGGCCGCGCCGGCACACTCAGGTGAGAGCTCTTCCGCCTCTGAGTGGCCCTCTCTCCTCCCCCCCTCCGCGGCCACGGTCTCTGCCCTTGTCCCGCTCTTGCACGTTGGCCAATTCGCTTTTCGGTGCTCCCGTCTAGCTCTTAGCGCTGGTGCAGCCAACTGCCTCGCCGCCGACGGAGGAAGTGTCCGTCGGCCCCTCCGGGGACCACGCGCGCGCTCCAACGTCTACAATATCGTACGTGCTGCGCGGCGGGCGCCTCTTGGCCATACCGCCTGGGCAGCGGTATGCTGTGGGGTGGTGTCGTGCTATATGTTCGGCTCGGACCTGCGCCTCCATGGGCGGCGCATGTTCGTCGAGGATCAAAGGGGCCCTGTTCCTGATAACGCGGTGGCGACGTGGCCACACTCAGGTTCCCGCTTCCGCGTGGGAGCAACGCGCGTGGGCGGTTCGGTCTGCTACCTCTGCAGCAGAGACCCGCTTGCCCTCGTGTTCTTTGCCCTCCCAGCGTAGGTCCCCTCCCAGAGGGTCAAGGGTCGTTCTATTGTCAACCCGCGTAGCAAGGATGGGCGGGTCCATCCTTTTCCACTTTCGTTGGCCGCGCCCCGCTCGAAAAGCTTCGAAACGGCCTTCA